TATATATATATAGGCCTCTATATATAAAGTACACTCTTTTTGTCTATACTGTAACTATTGATAATTTTAAACAGTTGATGATTCACGTTCACCTTTGTGAAATGATAACTTTAACCAAACAATAAATCCCAACGGGAATATAGATCGATTTGATTCTTGCTTCCTAAATTGTCCGATGCTCTAAGTGACTTTATTAGGTATACATCAGAATATTGCCATTGTGCACGGCTCATCAATCTAGCAAGCACACGGAGGCGTGTCAGTTTCCAAGTATAACGGGAGCTTAAGTAACAAAATCATGCCATTATTAGTATTAACTCGCTGCTGTTCCGTCAGGATTTTGTGATATATATACTCTGGGTGTGCGGCAGAAAGTTGCAACAAAACATATTCTGGTTGTGTATAATAGGCCTACATAAAAATTGTCCTCGAAGAATGTCATGTCCTACAAATGTGGGCTCGATGGGTATGTAGTAAGTGCACTTGCGGAAAGGAGGCCCAGTGGATCACTGACGGAATTTACTCAACTTGATCTTCAAATAGTATCTTAAAACTGACAGTACTTTGGTGTGTTTGGATTTAGCTTTCATTAACATACAGGTAAGTATAGTGACCTTGCATAAATTATTAAAAATAAATACTGAGATCGGGCCTTACGTGGCTACAGCTATACATTATAAGTTTATCATAGGCCTATTGATTGTCACCTTTATATTTACTTGTTGATTATTCCGCATCCTGGCACCAAGTTGTTTCTTAAGATACCCAGGTATTGACCCACCCTGGAAATTGTCTCTCCATCATCAAAAGAGAATTCATTGCAATGGAAAACACCTTTTTACGCACATGTGATACTTTTTTATATATTTACGGTGACATATCACATTATTTTTAGCATGTGGAGGAGTTTCGCTAATGGTTTTAGTATGCACAAGCCCTCCTATAGTATCATGCTTGAACATAGGTCCACATCGTATACCGTAAATGCTCGAATAAGCGCCGCGGCACTTATAACATTTTTGGAGGCTTCATTGCTGCGCTTATTCGAGAGCGGCGCTTATGAAAAAACATTGGCCTGGCGTAGCGCTTTCCATGCCCGTTCCCATGTTACCTATTCTACGTATATTCAACTAGTTCAGTAGGCCTATCATATGTCCTATATAAACAAACATTTATAAAGAATGTTTGTGTCTTCATTGTGTTATGTACAGTATTCATTTTAACGCTGTATACATTGTAGTCAAAACCCTGTTTCATTACACACAGAGTAATATTATATACTCTTGAGTGCCACTTAACGAAAAAATATTACGTTTGGTGCGGCACTTATTCGAGAGCCTCGCTTATTCGAGCATTTACGGCGTGTGCGCTACGGTACAGATGGATACGGTACATGTATACAAAAGTCTCTGAAAAACCTCCGTTTAATCATGATATATTTCCTCCATGGTAATTAACAATTTGTGAATGCTCATAGTGTGATGTTTCTATGATAAAAAATTAAGATACAATCATGAACAAGGCCTATGCACATGATACACTTGTCTTTAGTAGGTTTGTATGACACCATACGAGGTTTTGATTGGTTCCCAGTCGTTGACTAATCAATGCTCTTGGTAGATAATGTAGTGACAGTGAATAATAAAAGTAACAGTGAATAATAAAAGTGACATTACTTTTATGAATGCTTACAGTATTCACTACACTCACATCGAATGCATTCAATATTTTACTGCATACAATCTAAAGATTGATGATACATCAGACTATCTATCATCAATCTAATAAACGATGACATTTGAGTATTTCAAGAACATTGTTGTTCAACTGTTTCTCTTAGATACGCACACACTTACCGTTACCAGGTAACTTAGTTTTGTCAATAAAGAGATTTGAAGACACTGAAGTAACACAAAGTGAAACATATGAATCATGCAAAGTATTAAATACGACATACAGGCCGACGTTGTTTTTATCATAAATGTAACCTAAATTTTCTTGTGACTTTTCAATATTTGTTCATCAATTCTTCGACAGTGTTAACGTGGTTTGAATCCCTCATTGTTCATTTCGCTTGTATCACTGGACAAAGCATTTTAGCTGTTTTTATCTCTCTCTCCACCAGGAGGTTCCTGGTAGGTTCTAATACCAATTTAATTATTATTACTAGCTGCAGTATGTTTGATTCTCTCCAGAGAGCTATGTTATGTATTTGCTGTCTCTTATACACATCTAGATGTGTATAAGAGACAGATATAATATACATATATATAATATACATATA